TGGACTTTGGACTATGGACTTTGGACTTTGGACTATGGACTTTGGACTTTGGACTTTCGATTTTGAAATTATATTTTTAAAATATTCGTATAATTATATTAATTAAAATTTAAACAGAGAACGAAAATTTGTGCATGATACAATATTCAAGGTAAAAAATACTGTCAGTTATATAGGTATACCAGTGCAATTTCATAGATATAGCCTGTGGGATAACAGGATCATCTCAGTAATATTTTTAAGTTAATATTTAAATTTTATTATAATATTTGTATTTATAGTATGTATAGTACAGTTTATACTGCAGAACTTCTTCTTTATCGTACATATAATAGATTTATAGAAACAATTGCGACAAAAGTAGCTTGGCAAATACAAAATATTGAGAAACTATCACGTATAAGTATAAACTACACGCGATTATTATTGCGCCTTTGGCTTTGAACAATTATTCGCCGAAGGCGAGGCCGTGATTATCCGGGAATTTGTAGTCTCCCTCGCAGCCACCAGTTGTGTACGTTCTCTCTGATGTCTGCGAAGGAGGCAAGGGAATTTGTCAAATTTGACCAATCAACTTGACAACTTGTAGGATTTGTTGTACTATTTATTCACTTGCGCAAAAATACTAATGACGGTATTGTTCATCTTTGCATAATAGTTTACACCGGTTTAGCGCCTGCCTAAATAGGCTGTGTTACAATGTATTTTGTCTGTGTCAGTTTTAGCTTTTCATAAATGTATTCAGCCAGAGTGAACACGAAAACTCTCATAGTCATCATACTTTATAAAATACGAATGTATGATACATTATTAATTGGTAGTACTGATTACTTTATGATAATCTATAGTATTACTTTATGTATATATTTATGTCTATATTATTGTCTATATATGGCTCTTTTGCGTACGTTATGCGGCTGAGCATTAATCTTTATACTACGATTACGATTCCCGCCTGGTTCATCACTTGCAAGTGGTAGTATTACAGTAAACGTGGCAAATAGTTGCTAGACTACCTGAAGCACATAGACATAGATTTTTGCCTTCTCACACACAACTGAGTAGGTCTTAAAAAGTGTGTAAATTTCCGTTAGTCGAATATTCCTGTCCATCTACTAACACTTATTAATAATAACTGAAGCACTTAGTCTTATAGTGATATGGATAGCTAACTAGAATGTGTTTCAAAAATAAGTAACATTAACAAAACGTTACTGTGTAACGGAGTAAACAATTACACAACACAGTACTAGTATAAACTATTATGCAAAGATGAACAGTCACAATACTCAATACTCAATAGGCGCGATAATAATCACTTGTATAGTTAATATTTTGTATTTGCCGAGACACTTTTGTCACAATTGTTTCTGACAATTAATCTATTAGTATATGATAAAGAAGACGTTCTGCAGTATATACTGTACTATATGCATACTATAAATACAAATATTATATAAAATGTAAATATTAAATCCCAAAATATTGGACAATCCTGCTATCCTACAGGCTATATCCGTATGAAATTGCACTGCTGGTATACCTATATAACTGATACTAGAGATTTTTTACCTTGTATATTATTATATCATGCATGTGCATGCAGTGTAGCACGCTTATCAGCAGCAAATTTTCGTTCTCTGTTTAGATTTTAATATAATTATACGAAAATCTAAAAAAACAATATAATTTCAAAATCGAAAGTCCAAAGTCCAAAGTCCAAAGTCCAGTCCAAAGTCCAGTCCAGTGTTTACAATATGCCCCTGGAGATGGCTGTCAAAATTCAGCGGAGTTTATGTGCATGTCAGTTAGAATGAAATGACATGTGAAAACATTTAGCAAGATTGAGGCATCAAATGCGATATTATTTTCTTATCGATATTATTTTCTTATGCGATATTATTTTCGGGCTAAAAACAGTCTTTTCGAGTGCAAATGGGGGGGGGGGGGGGGGTACGTCGGAAATTTCAAAGTTTTGTCGGAAATTTAGGAAGCTTTGCCCCCCCCCCACACCGGAAAAAGTTAATTTCCACCACTGATTATTGACTGTTGTAGCAATATTTATTGGAAAGTTTGTATTTCAGCCGTTGGTACTTGTTACGGAATGGCTATGTAAAGCTATATATATAGATTGTGTTAAACGTGGTTAAAAAATAAAAATATTTTGACTTTGTTTCTGATGACATTTGCCGACTCTCGACTTTTTACTCTCGATCGACTCTCGACTTTTTACTCTCGACTTTTTACTCTCGACTCTCGACTTTTACTCTCGACTCTCGACTTTTACTCTTCCGATCTCTCGACTTTTACTCTCGACCTTTACACTCGACTCTCGACCCTCGACTTTTAGATACACTCCTGTACGAACACTCGCAGATAAAAAACTATATAGGTCAGTGGCCATATCGCGCACTACTTAGCGAGGTCTGGATAAGAGGCGGGAACTTTTCCCGCCATTCGCAATTAAACCAATCGAAAGCGAGGATAGAGACTAAATCTCGAACGGAAACCCAAAAACAAATTGTGAAATATTTTGTGCACCAACCTTTTTCAAAGCAAATGAACAAGTCTGGCCTCCTCGCACTTCGCGTACTGGCATGCGTTTTCGATGAATGCCTTTTATTGCAACCGGAGCGAACTGTCCGAGCGAATCTGGTCCAAGTAACAGAACTTCGTTTAAACGAATGATGCCCTGAAGACAAGTGCCTGAAATGACTGTACCAACACCCTGAAAGGTAACAGAAATTAGGGCCATTCCATTTAATATCCACACCCCCCCTACGGATGAGGTCAGTAAAATTTTAACCCCTAAGAAAAAAAGATCAAAGTGCCGACACAAAACACCCCTCAGAAATTTGTAAATTTTCCCCTTACCCCTCAGAAAAATCGCAGAGATCAAAGGATGCCGACAGGCTTAACCCCTCAGAAACGACTTTTTGAGTCGCCCTTCAGAAAAGCTCATCCGTAGGGGGGTGTGGACATTAAATGGAATGGCCCTTACTGGTAAACAAAATTTTGTAGAAAGTTCAACTAAAATTGCCCGAATTCGGGACCGTATCATTCAATGCAATTTGTATATAGGTAATAGTATGGTTTCGACTTTCGAGACCGAGTGCAATTTGGGAAAAACATGTACGAGTGAGTTTTTCAAAGACGATATAAATCGAGATCCATCCGCCGTACGGTGGATGGTTGAGTTTATCGATGATCATCATAATCGATTGATGGCCATCATCAATGATACTTACAGGTACTGAGTATGTTTCATCGACTTGGAACTCGGCAGGTTCAGACTCGCTGTAGTTTCCTCCGGATGACAACAGATTCAAAAACATTTTTAACAAATCCAGGTTCACGCCCGTCACATTGGAAACTTGAAATATCGGACACACCCTACAAAGAAACATTGCGATATTTGATAAACCTTTTTACATGGTGGTGGCAGGGATGAACAGAATTGACATCAATTTGCAATCTGATAATCGCTGATTGACCACCAACTGCTACACCAGAGTTTTTAACCCAAATAGCTTGCCACGCAAGCTAGGTTTTACGAGACTGAAAAGTTTTATTTTGCACAGGAAATATTTTTTCTTTGGGAAAAATGTGCAGAAATGTCAAGGGATCCTGCAGTCCGAAAGTGTTTTTGTCAAATAGGAAGATCAGAAATATGCTTGATTCTTGGTTCACAAACGCATTTTGTGCAGATTCTTCACAAACTATTTGCAGTTTTTACGGTTTGAAAAATTTTGCGCAGATTTCCACATAGTTGCAAGAATTTTTGCGCAGGAAATTAATTTTCACCGAAACCAAAACTTTACAGTCTGGAGGTTTTGCAAACGTTGCGTACCTTTCCGAGACGAAGTTACTGGCAGAGACCACCACGTCATCTTTGTTCTGTATCATCATCGGTATTTTGCGACATCCAGGAGACTTGAGTACTCTGGCCAACAATTTTAAGGTGTCTTGAAGGACGTTGGGTGGACACATATCGATCTTTGTAACGACCACAAATACTGGGACATTGAGCGCTAAAGCCAGACCAAGATGTTCTGAAATGAAATTTTTTTTCAATTATTGATAATCATATTAACGGCTGATCTCTATTTGGCGCGTTTATACACAGGCGATTATCAGACGAATTAACTTTTCTTTGCCAAAGTTGGTTCAGACGGATCATCCTTCTCTAACTAGTATAAATATAAATAAATAGGGCACTATACCTTTAGTCATGCCAATAATACCAGCGTTCGCTCCAATCTAAAATAAAAACAAAATATTTATACCATACAAGGGAAGCTAAGACTAGCTAAAATTTTTACCATATAAAACATAGTACACCATATAAAACATGGTACACCATATAAAACATGGTACACCATATAAAACATGGTACACCAAATAAAACATGGTACACCATATAAAACATGGTACACCAATACACCATATAAAACATGGTACACCATATAAAACATGGCACACCAATACACCATATAAAACATGGTACACCATATAAAACATGGTAACCATATAAAACATGGTGCACCTTATAAAACATGGTGCACCATATAAAACATGGTACACCATATAAAACATGGTACACCAATACACCATATAAAACATGGTACACCAATACACCATATAAAACATGGTACACCAATACACCATATAAAACATGGTACACCAATACACCATATGAAACATGGTACACCATATAAAACATGGTACACCTACCATTAACATGGCAAAGTCAGGGGCATGACCAGTCATTCCAAAGATTGTTGTTTTCAGGTACTTCTCATGTCCAGCCAAGTCAATGAAAGTCACAACCTACAAGGAACACAAGTTTTAAACGTTTTCAGCATGTACTACAACTTCTTTCACAAGAGTAGTAAAATATTCAGTGACCTAAATGTGAACAATCCAATTTATGGCAAAAATACAAACTTTGGATGACTCCCGACAGATTCTTTGCCAATCAACGTTGCTTCCTGGAAACAAAAATATATTTTTCATTGTTCATAGATACCATGACCATGAATAGAAATTCTTAACTAGCAGATATAGTGAAGAGAAAATCTATGCAGAACATGTTCTTTGATTGTGTTCAAATTTCCCCATTTTGAATATTATCAGGGGGGTGAATGCCTCTCATAAGTGCACTGGCTAGACCATGTCATCAGCATTTTGATGATGAATCATGGCGTGGTAATGCGTACCATGTACTTCTGATTTATTGATCACATTTCCTCGGCTGTCAAACCCAAGTATGTCATTTCCCACACTGCTAGTTCGACCAGATTCCATCTCATGTTTATGTCGAAATAGTTTCTGACGAGCGAATCCTCTTCCATTGTCAAGTTCGCCATGCGTCAACACTCCAAGTAGAGTGCTTTTGCCTGCGTCCACGTTCCCAACCACAGCAACACTGAAAAAAAAGATTTGATTAATTTCAGTGAGGTGATGTTTTCTACAATAAGGTGCCTAACTATTGCATGATACTTTATTTTTTGTGGGGAAGGGGGTTGCTGAAGATTGGACCCCATCCCTATATTGATCTATGACACTTACCGAACCTCAATAAAATCTTCATCTTCGACTTCCCTTCTGAGTAAATACTCAACAATTTTTCCAGTTGTTGTGGTCTTCTCTCTTAATGAAAGCATTTCAACTCCACATGTCTGAGTCAAGCTCTCCAAAGTTGCAATGGATGCTGCAAGGTCTTCTTGATTTAAGCCGCTCGAATCTCCATCTGGTATGGATAATGATACACAGCTCAATTTTATGTTAAGCATATCACAAACACTTGTCAAATCTCAACGAGACGTAACATATCTGATATACTAACCACCGATACCAATTTCATACAATGTTTCTCCATTGCCTTCGCGTAACCTCTGCTGCAATTGCCGTAGTAACAGATCATATTCCTCGTCATTGGGACTTACTAATAAGGTCTACAAATAAGAAAATCAGCTTTCATATAACACTGTGGTCAAACATGTGTAAAAATGGCGGGGGGAAATGTCTGCCAAAATAACAAGGAATAAATACAGGAAAAGAAAAGTGTTTGTACCATAAGGGAATGACTGAAGGTATAAGGTACATTTTTGAAAAATCCAAGTAGAAAAAATGAAAAAACATATGAGATACAGAAATAAATTAAATCATATAACACAATTATCAAAGAGATTATATTATGAGGAACAATTAATTAGATACAAAAAAACAATTCTAAAATGATTTGGAAAACTTTAAACAATGTTCTTAATAGGAAACAAAAAACCAAAGAACTGCCAAGAGAGTTCATTATGGAAGATTCTTCCAAAAAAATAATTGATCCAAATGAAATAGCTAATACTTTTAATGAATATTTTATTAACATTGGACCAAAAGTAGCAAGCAAAATTAAAAATACAACTAATGCTACTTTCAACAACTACATGAAAAATAAAAATACTATGTTTTTCGATCCAATTACAGAAACTGAACTAGAAAATGAGATCAGAAATATGAATCCAAACAAATGCCCTGGTTATGATGGTATTTCTATTAAAACAATCATACTATGTGCAAAAGAAATTTCTAAACCTTTGACACATATATACAACTCAACATTTATAACAGGAATTATTCCTGACAAATTAAAGATTTCTTTAGTTACACCAATTTTCAAAGCAAATGAAAGTAATAAATTTGGAAATTACCGACCAATTTCAGTCCTTAGCTGTCTCTCAAAATTATTAGAAAAACTCACTTACAAACGATTCATTGAATTCATTGAAACCCACAAAATCTTATCAAGACATCAATATGGATTTAGAAAAAATCGATCTACAGAACATGCACTAATTGAGCTTGTTGACAAAATAACTACAGCGATAGATGAGAAATACACAATTGGTATTTTTCTTGACCTATCAAAAGCATTTGATACTATTAATCACCAGATTTTGATTAATAAGTTAGAGCACTATGGAATAAGAGGAACGTGTCAAAAGTGGTTCAAAAATTACCTAAGTAACAGAAAACAAATTGTAAAATACAATCAAACCAAATCAGAAGAAATGACAATAAAAAGTGGAGTCCATCAGGGTTCAATATTAGGACCACTCCTGTTTTTGCTATACATTAATGACATTCAAAACGGTAGTAAATTAATTTCGATTATATTATTTGCGGATGATACCACTATTTCTTACAGTCATAAGTGTCTTAAAACGCTCAATGAAACTATTCAATTAGAATTATCCAAAATTTCAAATTGGCTAAATGTCAATAAACTCTCAATAAATATCTCAAAAACAAAGTTTATTGTTTTTAGGTCGTCAAAGAAAAAACAAAACTATGATACAACAATTTTGTTAAACAATGAAAATATTGAACAAGCTAAAACAACTACATTTCTGGGTGTGGTCATTGATGAACACTTAACATGGAGTCATCATTTAGATATGATTCACAAGAAAATCATGAAGTCTACAGCAATAATATCTAAAAGTAGACATTATATAATCTATCCATATCTGACATTATATAATCTATCCATATATAATCTATCCATATCTGATTTATTGCAACTTAATATGGGGTAACACATACAAAACAAGAATACAAAGGTTAGTAAGCATCCAAAAAAAGATAATGAGACTAATAAGGCCACATAAAAAAAAATAGTTGGTTAGCGTCCCCGCCCGCCCACAAAAAAGGCCCCGCTCAGGATTTTTTTTTTATTTTTATTTTAAAAAACCCCAACTTTTAGTGATCGACAGGCTCTAATACTGTAGTATTTCTGTTGACTGTAGTCAATTGTGTTAATAAATTGCAAAATTACGTGCGAAAATGGCAGTATGAATCATATTTTGAAATATATAAAAAATATCTGAACTGTGCAAGAAAATCCAGTTTCGGACCTAAAATCAAGGCGTTAAAAATTACTAAAAATTTAAAAAAAATCCGCCCGCCCGCCCACTTTTTGGCAAAAGCTGAGGACGCTAACCAACTATTTTTTTTATGTGGCCTAACATTTAAATTTTATTTCGAACACACTGAACCAATTTTTAGAGATCTAGAAATATTAAGCATTGAACAAATAAATTGCTATCTCACCAGTATATTTATGTTTTGATATAATCATTTAGAAAATCCACCCAAAATATTTAACAATTATCTCACAGCTAATTATGAAATTCACGACCACAACACAAGAAGTGCATCTCAACTTCACAAAACTTTCAAAAGAACTAACTATGCAAAACATACTCTTGCTCACAAAGGAATAAATGTTTGGAATGTTCTCTTAAATAAATACAAA